TTTTTTTATTATTATTTCATTTAGATTCCTCAACTAGTTTCGGCCAAAATGGCTATCATCGGGAGAAGAAATATTTCTGCTTGCTGGTAGCAGTAAACTACAGAAATATATATATATATATATATATATATATATATTGAACAATAAAGAAAATATTAAAAATCAAAATCTTCAGACACACTGGGTTGTAGATTAATATTCTTTCGCTTTTTTTTATTATTATTTCCTTTAGATTCCTCGACTAGTTTCGACCAAAATGGCCATCATCAGGAGAAGAAATAATTCTGCTTGCTGGTAGCAGTAAACTACAGAAATGAATGTCTTGATGGAGAAAATGAACTTTTGTTTGTAGTTTTCATTTGTTTTTTTTATTTTTTATCTTTTTAACATGAATCTTTTAACAATCCTTGTGTTGGTCAAACAGTCTCTTTTAAGTTGTTATTTGAGATAAGAGCTGGATAGATACATGTTACTCTGAATTCCCCTGGTCAGTTTGACAGTTTTATTGGTCCTGGAGAGGGGATGTGTCTCTGTTTAGTGTTTGTGTGTGTGTTATTTGGTTCTTAGGGAGTGAGTGAGTATGATATGTGTAAGCGTGTGTATTGCTGTGGGTGTGTGTTATCATTTGGCTCATTAGGGAGTGAGTAAGTATGATGTGTGTAAGTGTGTATATTAGTATGGGTGTGTGTTATCATTTGGCTCATTAGGAGTGAGTGAGTATGATGTGTGTAAGTGTGTATGTTCGTGTGGGTGTGTGTATAAGTGTGAGGCCTCTACACCTCCGCAAGTATGTCTTGTGTGGGTGGGAAATGTGTGTAGGTCCTGATTTGTGAAGTTATATATTAATTCTATGTTGTTAAATTTGTGATTAAACCCTTTTGGTTGAAGCATTCTCAGGCGTATATATATATATATATATATATATATATATATATATATATATATATATATGATAATAGCTGGCTACTCAAATTCGAGGATACCCGTCTACTAGGGAGGCTTGCCAATCCCTATTGCAGACGCCTGCTCCGTGATTTGTAATCTAACTATACTGAACAGACCTTAGTCACAGTGCCTGCGAATGAGCGTGTTATCTATCTTGCGTGTACAGAAAGGCCAGCACTCTCAAACTTGTGACTTCGTGCTAGTACACATATCGACGGCCCCTAGTTGTGTCGTCTACCCAATTTCACTCACAAAGCTTGGGCCCAAAGGTGCCGCACGCCGACAATCAGTTAACATCAGTGTTAATCAATGTATCACTAAAACGTTATTTTAGCGAATAGCCAAATTTGACAAAAAATTTATATTAGTATTACCAACAATACATTTTATAGCAAAATGACCAACAATATGTTTCATAGCAAAATGACCAAAAATGCATCTCATTTATAGATGTGATTGTTGTTCATGATGACGGTCATCTTGGGTATAGAATCCAGAGGTTAGCAGTGAATATTTCGAAGACAGTAGGAAAGCGTTGTTCAGATTAGCAGTGGATATTTTTGGTAAAAAGTAGCAAAATAGTTTTTTCTTCTGTTTCTCTTCGCCTGACAAGCTGGAACTGGACATTCAGATAGAGTAAACAAAATGGCCGCCTTTATACACGACGGATTGAATATTCTACGTTTTTTGATTGGTTAACCTTCTATTGGTGGACTATAAAGTGAGTCAAGTCATTTGGTCTAACTCACTAGTACATATATACACAAAAAACTGCAACAGTGATTGGGTTTGCAATATATTTGAAACCATAAAATTGTGTCAAAAATATTTAGATTTTGGCATTAAATAACCCATTGTATTTGATATGCAGCCAAACAAATTCAAACAACCAACAGGAAAGAACTCTTTTTGTTGACATTAATCCATATAATATCCTACAATTTCTTAAAGAAATCAAACTATATTCCAAAATATAAGTTCAAGAAAACTACAACATAAAATACAGATCACCGCCTCTAGTAATTATGTCCACACTGTTGCAGTTTTTTGTGTATATGTTTACTAGTGAGCTAGCCCAAATGACTTGACTCACTTTATAATCTACCAATAGACGGTTAACCAATCAGAAGACGTAGAATATTCAATCCGTCGTGTATAAAGGCGGCCATTTTGTCTACTCTATGGCCAGTGCCAACTTGTCAGGCGAAGAGGAACAGAAGGACGAACTACGCTCTGCTACTTTTACCAAAATATCCACTGCTAACCTGAACAACGCTTTCCTACTGTCTTCGAAATATTCACTGCTAACCTCTGGATTCTATACTCAAAGACGACCGTCATCATGAACAACACACTCTAACATGTATATGAACAAAAGCTGAGTATCATCTACCATGTATTCAACTGTAAAAGCAGAATAACATATATCATATTTTTATTGCTTCAAAGCTCCCTAAGAAAATTAAATTTCGGTACTAAATGACCCATAAGTAGGTGATATACCGTTAAACAAATAAATGGCATCAAATCACAAAAGCTGAGAATCTACCATTTATTCAATTGTTAAAGCAATATATATATATATATATATATATATATATATATATATATATATATATATATATATGATAGAAATTATTAGGAGGATTTGATAATTATATTTTAAGTAATTCATCGAGTCTGGGAGAAACCTCCACAGAATGCAGAAAGCACCGTTTTGTCCTATATTTGGGACTCATCAGCGGCTGGTGAGAGTAGTCGTGGCTCCAGGGGGCACAGTCCTATGGTTACAGAGAACTTAGTAAGAGTTCCACCACGGAATATGTGAACGAGCGGCGCTATATTGAGTCTGATTTGCAATCTCTTCGTCACCGAGGCCCGGTGGAATAGTTGGTTTGCTTGTCAAACTGTCAGGGTTTCAATTCTCGGTAGTGGATGCGCACTGCTGATGAAACGGCCGTCCAGTGCTTTCTGCATTCTGTTGTGGTTTTTCAGACTCGATGAATTACTTAATATATATATATATATATATATATATATATATATATAGTGGTAAATATATATAATATATATACATATACACACACACACACACATATATATATATATATATATATATATATATATATATATATATATATATATATATATATGTATATAAAAAAAAATTCCAAGAGGATAGAATCTAGGTAGAACTCAATGTCCAGAACAGAGTAAGGATATAATAAAAAGGCTTAAACACTAATATTACATGGTCATAATTTATTCCATTGGAATCCTAAATACGATCTAATTCATCAGACCTACAATTCAATTTTGAATTTGTAGGTCTGATGAATTGGATCGTATTTACGATTCCAATGGAATAAATTATGACCATGAAATATTAGTGTTTAAGCCTTTTTATTATATATATATATATATATGACCCATAATAAGTTGATGTGCCTTTAAACAAACAAAAAACTACACTATTCAGATTCTTCTTCATTCAGGTGTGGTCGATTTGTAGCACGTGCCTTTAGCCGTATTACTTGCAGCAACTAAACTTTCTGTCTTCTGACAATTAGCGTTTAGTCCTCTCTCTCTCTCTCTCTCCTCGCTTTCTTTTGTTACCTTCGGTAAGGATTTTTTTCTTAGCTTTCCTTTTGAGGCGGCTACGGTGTTATCTGTCGTACTGTTGACATAACTTCGGCCGTGAGTAATCAGAACAATTTCAAGCATAACAGCCTAAACGCAAGGCAGGGGCTTTTCACACGGTCATTCTGACATTTCTTGCCGATTTTAACGTCTCTCTTTCCATCAATTTTTTTTTGTTGTTCTAACAAAATACAGACGTAAACAAACCCCCGCTCATCTTCACTTCATGTGTTTTCGATTCCATTTTGCGTTGGTTTAAACAAAAATACGAAAAGGTCCGCTGTACTCTCACAAGAAGGACGGGAGGTAAAATATGAATCCTTGTCTTCAGTATATTGGCTCCTTTATTCTCGGATTTAGCTAGCACAGGGTTACCCTTTAGACGCGACTATGTCTGGCTTCTCTCTAGGTCGTCAAATGGGGTCCGAGCATCCCCGTAAGCATCGGTGAAGAGATCTAGGATCCCGATGATAGTCAAAAGGTCAAATGGAGGTCGGTATGCGTGTTGGGACCCGTCTACCCGGGGTTTTGCTTCTATCCGAGTGCCGGGATTACAAACATCTGACATCATCAACAACAACGATACATTTTTTTTTTAAATGAAACATAAAACATGTTATTCGTTGAAGGAAAAATAAAAGCAGAACGTCAGTTGAAATAACATTTATGTGTGACATAGAGAAAGAGAGAAACCCCCACTCCCCACCCCGAGGTAGATTTAGTAATCAACAGTGCTAAAGAATTAGAATGAAGGTGCTAATTACTTGGGTAGAAAGGATTCCGGAGTAATTCCAGAAATAAGTTTATATTTTTTTTTCTCTTAATAATTGTTTCTGGGGTTGAGTTATTAGTTAATTCCATGTAATAATCCCAAAGTGATTAAGAGACGGATTCGTTAAAGTAAAGTTTGTGATAAATGGCAAATTGGATTTTTGGGTGGTCTGAATAGCGGAATCCAACCAGACGGGATAAATGTTTTTGGCAAAATTTAAGTATACGTTGTCTGCGGAAGATCCACCAGGAGGTCCGAATCCGATTTTAGTACCTCTTGAAAACTGGTTGCCCGCGGAGATCCGGAGATTAGGCGGAAATACATGGTGGTCCAGGCGATTTGCATATTAAAATTCGGGGGCGGTGCCTAAAGATGTTTTAGCTCCGCCTCTCTCTAAATAAGCTGCCCGCACGCTTGAGTTAGTCAGATGAGTTCGGAGTTCGGAGATCAGAACGCGGAATAGGCGGCTTGTTGGAATTTGCTGGTCTGTTCTGTTGTTTGCCCTGTGTCAAGAAGACCGATCCGAGCCAAGAGAACCAAATAGAACCCGTACGAATCCAGATAACTTCGTCAACAAGGCTGCGAGAAGGCAGACTGCTATATCGTAGGGTGCAGACGAAGATCCACGAATTACTTCCCTTAGATCAGCCGAAATTGTTTAGGCAGAAATTTTCCTACTCTCTCTCTCTCTCTCCCTCTCTCTCTCTCTCTCTCTCTCTCTCTCTCTCTCTCTGTGACTTTCCGACCCAAACGAGTGAATCTCGTTGCGACATTTTTTACTCGGGTAAATTCTTCGGTAGAGACATAAAAAAACAGTGGCCTAAATAGGGCCCTTTGTACAGGAACAGGAGTTGATTATTTTTTCTTTTTCATGTGTTTGCAGCTACTCAAGAAACTTTTGCTGCATGAATGGCGATTTCCTTTCAACGAAATACCCAGCCATTTCCTCCCCTTCCAACCGGATCGTTCTGGGGAGATCGATACATTGCTGTTCGGATGAAAAATTCACAACGTGGCGAATAGTGATGGTTCCTTCAGTTCACCGGAGGAAGATCGGGTGGATTTCTTTTTCGGCCAGAATCACCGGGGAGACAGGACACAACTCTGCAACTGGCAGGGTTAGATATCTTATCTTTTCAAGAATCTACAATGATAATAAAATGTCCAATTAATCCTTCAGTGAAGTTAAATTTCATAAAGTAAGTAAGTGTTCCTAGGTGGTGTGAAATGTGTGAACAAACTTACTTTATGATGGTAGGCCTAATATGTTTGTGAGTTCGTAGAAAAAAGTATAGTACGCGGTTGCTGGATAATCCCTTATATTGTCTACGTGGACAAGGCCTTACTCAGCGGCTGCTGGTTTGTCGTATCTTCCATTATGTTCATATGTGCGGATGATTGTGTGTGTACGCACGTGTAGATCAAACTGGCAGCCGAAATTGTTTTGATCCTAGAGTAGCAGTATGCTTCTATTTTTATATCCGTGATAGAATTCATAATCTAATTCCACATAGAAGTATGAATTATTTAAATACATGGTTTTCAGTACACAGAAAATAATTTCACACTGACTCGCGAAAATCTTTTTCTCAAATTTGCAGGATCGGTGAAAGGAGTTATTATTGTTATTTATCTAAAAGCTCCAAAAATAACACGTGGTAAGTCTACAACTACGTCCGCCAAGTATTTTGGCGCTATTAGCCTTTGTAATTATTGTTTATCAAATAGACCTTCTGATAGAATTTTATTGGTTGAAAAATATACAGAGAATTACTATATGGGAATAACACTGAGCTAAATTTTAGTTAGTGTTCATGTATGTTGTATTCATCGGTGCAGAGGAAAGAAAGCCACTGAGCTTCGACGATCAAAAGAATCAAAAGCCTTAGTTACATTTACTCAAGTAGCTTTGAACTTATTTTGATGAGATTTATTTAATGCTACATTGAGAATTGCGATACAGGGGTATATCTTTGGTAACAAAGAAAAGAATACTGAAGTGTTGCGCGACATCAGTCCTTCTTTACGGCAGCGAATGCTGGACGATTTTCTCAAAGATCAAGAAGAGACTCGAGGCGACAAAGATGTGGTTCTACAAAAGAATGCTAAGGATATCATGAACCGAGCGTGTGAGCAACGATGAGGTCTTAGAGAGGTTGAAAACAAGGAGGAGGTTTATACTTAACACCAGGAAGAGGCAACTGAAGTTTCTGGGACACATAATGAAGACGGAGGGCCTGGAAAATCTGATACTCACGGGTCGAATACAGGGAAAGAGAGACAAGGGAAAACAACGCGTGACATACCTGGCGGGCTTAAGCAAGTGCATGACAGAACTTCGTCTGGGAAAGGAATCAGAGGGAAGGAATTTATTGAGAGCTGCAAAGGATAGAGGGAGGTGCAGAGCTATGATCGCCTACATCGTGAAAGGACGTGACACATAAAAAGAAAGAAAGAATTTTAATTGCTTGCTCTTTTTTTAATTATTCCAAGTTCATTTTCAGACAACAATCCCTCTTTTTCAACCTCTAACTATAAAATAGAGTTTACCATTATGAAGGTCATTTGGTCTGATTGGTATAATTGCATCAACTATGGTGCAATATTTGTTTATGTAATTTGATTAGTTAGTACAGTTGGATATTAGTAGCAGTTTTAGCTTTCTATTCACTAGTACCGGCTGCATTTACGCTCGGGGCACATAATCTATTTTTTGCTTGATTCAGTGGGGTTATTTAAACAAAAACTATGCTAATGATACCACTATTCATGCACTTGAGGAAAGAAAAAAATACATGATCAGGAGTTTGTAGCCAATCTTTCCTCTGATCTAACTCTGGCACAGGGGTCATCAAACGGGGTCCAAGCGTCTCCCTAGGGGTCGGTGAGGATTTCCAGGTGGTCTATGATAGTCAAGGGATCGAATAGGGATAGGTGTGCGAATGACACTGTGCTAAATTTTAGTTAGTGGACATGTATTTTGTATTCATCCGTACAAATGAAAGAAAGCCACTGAACTTCGACGATCAAAAGAATCAAAAGCCTTAGTTACATTTACTCAAGTAGCTTTGAACTTATTTTGATGAGATTTATTTAATGCTACATCGAGAATTGCTTGGCAGATTACTGGGAGACAGGGGGATATCTTTGGTAACAAAGAAAAGAATACTGAAGTGTTACGTAACATCTGTCCTTCTTTACGGCAGCGAATGCTGGACGATTTCCTCAAAGATGGAGAAGAGACTCGAGCCGACAGAGATGTAGCTCTACAGAATGACGCTAAGGATATCATGGACTGAGCATGTGAGCAACGATGGGATCTTAGAGAGGTTGCAAACAAGGCTTATACTTAATATCAGGAAGAGGCAGCTGAACTTTCTGGGACACATAATGAGGAAGGAAGGCCTAGAAAATCTGATATTCACGGGTCGAATAGAGGGAAATAAAGACAAGGGAAAACAACACGGGACATACCTGGCGGACTTAAGAAAAGAGGATGACAGAACGTGGTCTGGGAGAGGAAGCAGAGGGAAGGAACTCGTTGAGAACTGCAAGGGATAGAGGGAGGTTGGGAGCCATGATCGCCTACGTCCCGAAAAGGCTTGGCACATTGTTATGGGATCTTATCCATAATAATATTAATCGACTATTACATACTTAATAAATACTGCGCCTCAGTCAGTAGGCGGGAGTCAGTAGTTCAAGTGGAGTCAAGAGTCGAGTCAGAGGCAGTCCGAAACAGAGTCGCGTTCAGACGATTACTGCAAGACATTGGAATAGTGATACTGGTCGAGAATACATTGTTCTCTCTACTAAACCTGATTGTTCATACTAACACTTCTACTTCTCTGTATATATTCCTGTTTATAATATATCTGTGTTATCCCATACCTGTGTTCTAGTTCTTCTTTTGGTTCTACCTTGGACTATCACCGTGGTACAAGGAACCGGACCATAACATGCATAAAAAGAAATAAAGAAGAGAATTGCTTGTTCTTTTTTTTTAATTATTCCAAGTTGATTTTCAGATAACAATCTCCCTTTTTCAAAAGTGTAAATTAGTTTACGATTATGAAGGTCATTTGGTCTCATTTGTATGATTGCATCAAGTATGATGCAATATTAGTTTATTTAATTAAATTAATTAGTACATTTCTATATTTGTAGCAGTTATGCATTTCTGTTCAATAGGCTGAATTTAGGCTTGTTGTGGTGGACTAATGAATAGCGGCTCGGATTGGGGAATCGGAGAGCCGAGTTCAAATTCCAGTTGAATCCATTACATTCACTAATACCCTTGGGAAAGGTATGAATACTTTTCTTCTCTCACCATAGCTGGAGGAAGAAGAGGATTCATCCCATCCGGAATTGTAGTTCTGCAAAGAAAAGAGTATTCAACTGTTATATAAAGGCAATAATCCTATATTGCAATGAATGCTGGACAAATCTGTAGGAACAGAAATGTGGTTGTACAAAGAAATGGCACTCAAATGTTATATAATATCAGACATCCTATATGGCAATGAATACTGGACAAACATGAAGCAAATGTGCTTCTACAAAGAAAAGAATACTTAACTGTTACATATCAGTCCTTGTATAGGGCAATGAATGCTGGACAGTGTTGAAGCAACAGAAATGTGGTTTTACAGAGAAAAGAGTACTCAACTGTTATGAAATAACAATCTTCCTCTATGCCAGTGAATACTGGACAACCCTCTCAAAGATGGCGAAGAATCATGAGGTAACAGAAACATGGGCCCACAGGAGGATGATGAGAATAACAGGAGAGAAAATGGAAGCAAAACTGACACTTATACATAAGACCAGAAAGAAACAGGTGAAATATACCGGGCACATAAAAGGATAGGGAGTATAGAAAATTTGACACTCTCATGACCGATTGAAAGCAATAGGGACAGGAGAAACCAACACAGGACATACGTACCTAAGCTGCTTGATCAAATGGTTGGGATAACAGGTATTTCAAAAATATAAAATATACTAAGGGATACAAAGGATAGAAAAGGACGCAATTTCCAACGTTCATGGTACATAGAAGAAACAGAATTGTATGTGAAAAATGTGCCAGCCCAAAACCTCAGACAAAAAAAATCTGTGATGTATCTACCGCAAATGACCTGAAGATGTCTGTATGCACAGATGAAAGCTTGTAAAAAAATAAAAAAAAGAACTTATGCGAATGAAATTTATAAACAGGAATCATAACATTCATATACATGTTCGGGGTTAATGTATTTTATTAAATTTGTTTGCGAAGATGTATTCTCGCCATTTAAATCATTAACTTCTATATCTGTTTTTTGCATGAATGATTCATGTAATATAAATTGAACTGCACCAAATATTTCTTTTCTAGGTTTTCGGCATTTTTTTCTGTTAAATTCGTACTTGTATACATAAATATTCATTCTAAAAGGGTTGTTTGGGTTAGAATACGTTATACTAGACTACAATTTTAAAATAGTATTTTTACTCTGTAAATTTACATTAAGCACTGTTTTATAAAAATACAAATATCAATTAAGAACACCGGATTATATAGCTTACTGTTCTTTCTTGATATTATAATATATATATATATATATATATATATATATATATATATATATATATATATATATATATATATACGCTTGTTTAGCTGTATTACAGCTCTTGTGGATTCCGGGTTGAAATCCGGTACCAATAAATAACAAACGCCAAGAATGAATATATGAAAATAATGTATTAACGTAATAATACAAACTGGTAATGCAGGTTAGTAGTTCCAGGAATACGGGTTAGTAGCAAAATATATATACAGTCTTTGGTATTGAAGTATCGCTGTATGACTTCTTACTGAGTCTACGTTCTCGCCACTGTGACTCCTACAACGCTGTTACCTCACCCCTCACTCTTCCGGTTACCTAAAACCTTTTACTCTGTCACTCTGGACTCGACTCCTCGGTCTTGCTCTCTCGGGTCTTCATGTAGCCGTAGTATATGTATATACTGGGTGAGTCCATTTGTGTAAAAAGGGGAGAACCTCTCAACAACAGCTAATCAGTGTGGTTAGATATCCGATCACTTCAAGTCGAGATCAATACTCGACCGATTTGGCACCAGTCAGAGATACAATCCCTAAGCTATCGCCTCCAGACGACTTAGTAATGGGCTGCAACTCTTCTAGACAGTTTCCTTATTTAGCTTGGTAATTGCTGCCATAATTCTTGCCTTTAATTCATCTTTGGTGTTACAAGGAGTTTTGTTGGTCGCTCGCTCAACTGCACCTCACACATCAAGGAATTGCAGCCTGGGCAGTTAGGTAGCCAGATGTAATTATTCATGTGGTCACACAAATTATCTGACAGCCACGACTGGCTTCTTCTGCTTGTATGGCATGGTGCAAAGACCTGCTGCCAGATATATGAACATTCAACTGCCACCCTCTTGACCCAGAGCAGCACTAGCTCCTCATGGCACCTGATACAGGCTCCCGTGTTGAGTCTGAGACTTTCACCAACAAATTCGTGAGTTCTTTTACTTATCAGAACAATCAGAATGAGTATTCCTAAATGCCGTGCATTTGTAATCAGCATTAGACTCATCAAACTCTTTCCAAATATTCTTCACTGTCCTCAGATTGACACACGCACACTCTGAAATGTTCGTTTTAGAGCTTCTGGTCGGAATGTCTAGCAGTACAGCACGTCATTTCTAAATTTCGTCAACATCGTCATGGTGCTCTTTTTTTGCACAGATGATCCCCAACTGATGTTCCTATAATATGCAGCCGTCAAGTCAAAACCAAACAACGTACAGGTGTGAAATTGAAAATATAATATGGAGAGAATTTATCCATCGTACCCTAGATAGATAGATAGATAGATAGATAGATAGATAGATATGAAAAGGGGCTACTTGAGATAAATAGACACATACATACATACATACATACATACATAGATCGACCGACAGAGAGAGAGAGAGAGAGATATGAAAAGGGGTTGTGATAGATAGATAGACAGAGAGAGAGATAGATGAAAAAGGGTTGTGATAGGTAAATAGATAGATAGATAGATAGATAGATAGATAGATAGATAGATAGATAGATAGATAGATAGATGGATATGAAAGGGACTACGATAGATAGATACATACATACATACATCGACTAAAGGAGGTAGATATGAAAAGGTGCTGGGATAGATAAATAGATAGATAAACAGAGAGAGAGAGAGAGAGAGGTATGAAAAGAGGTTGTGATAGATAGATAGATAGATAGATAGATAGATAGATAGATAGATAGATAGATATGAAACGAGATTTTGATAGATAGATAGATAGATAGATAGATAGATAGATAGATAGATAGATAGATATGAAAAGAGGCTTGTATAGCTAGCTAGAAGGCTTGATATGAAAGGGGGATATTTGAGATAAATAGACACATAGGTTCGATAGAAAGAAAGAAAGAAATTGATACATAGATCGACCGACAGAGAGAGAGAGAGATATGAAAAGGGGTTGTGATAGATAGATAGACACAGAGAGAGGGAGAGAGGGGGAGAGAGAGAGAGAAAAGGAGTGAGAGAGGGGGAAAAGGGTTGTGATAGATAGCTAGATAGATAGATAGATACATACATACATCAACCAACAGAAGTAGATATGAAAAGGTGTTGTGATAGATAAATAGATAGATAAACACAGAGTGAGAGAGAGAGAGAGAAAGAGAGAGAGATGAAAAGAAGTTGTGATAGATAGATAGATAGATAGATAGATAGATAGATATGAAAAGAGGCAGCGATAGCTAGCTAGCTAGCTAGCTAGCTAGCTAGATAGATAGATAGATAGATATGAAAATGGGATACGATAGATAGACACATACATACATATATAGATGGACCGACAGAGGGAGAAATGAAAAGGGGTTATGATAGAGAGAAAGAAAGAAAGAAAGAAAGAAAGAAAGAAAGAAAGAAGTCAAGGATGGTGAAAGAGTGACAAGAATGTATCTCAAAATATATAAAAAAAAAAAAATACAAAACGAAATAAAAAAAAAAAGGGAGATGGCAATTGAAAAAAAATAATTGGCGAAAAATATTCAGCGTTGCGACCCAAGAGGATATTTCTGCTTTCG